CCCGCTCTCCGCTCTTCTCCCTTGATGGTCCTAGGGACCTCCGCTCCTAGACTGAAAATTTACATGTATTACATTTTATGTTAGGATTTTTTTGTTTGGAAATACAATTCAAATGAATACTATTAAACATTTATAAGAAAAGTTTTCATGCGTTTTACAAAACAAAATTGTGACAATAAGATACAAATATTTGTATTGGTACTGTCCAGCTTGTCACAATGATCTTGTATTCTCTGACAGTGAATCTGCATCCCTAAATTATTCCAAATTATCAATAGATATTTTTTGTAATCTTAGAAATAATATTTTACTAAACACCAGCATGAGTGCAGTATTTTATGGCCTCTAAATAAGCAAATGACACTAAAAAAATATCAACTAAATTTTCCTGTTTTGGGTCTAGATTTGTTCCAATAAATAAAACTTTTATTGAAATACTCGTAAGATAATGACTAGAGACTTGAAATAGTTACTTCAAATTCTATAAATTTTTCATTTACATAGTAGAAAAGATTATTGCTAAATTAAGATCCTAAGGAATTTTAAGAAAAAAATATTAAACAGAAATAGAATGCTGGTGGCTTTATAGGGTAAGTATTGGATTGTGAGCCACAAGGTTAATGGTTCAAGCCTACCAGCTAGTGTTCCATGAGAGAAAGATGAGACTTTCTGCTCCCGTGAAGATTTACAGCCTCAGAAACTCTATACTGGGACACTGAGTCAGCACCAACTTGACTGCACCCAACAACAACAATAGAGAAATGTAGTCTTTATTCTTCATGTTATTTTTTAGTTTCTTAATTCTCTTATGTTTAAATTTTTTTTTTTTTTTCAGGACAAAAAGTGACGATTCATGACAAAACAGAAATTAATCTGGTGTCATTTCGTCGCACAATTTATCTTGCTATTCAGTCAAGGTAAGATGCCATAGCTCAATAGATCCTCTTTTTAGACAGGTACATGAGGGCTGTATTTTAGAATCTGAGACTCGGAGAACAAAATAACAAGGTTTCTCATCCTGTGCTCAAGCTCATACATAGATTCATACACTCAATTATTTACTGCTAGGACAAATTTTGTAACGATTTACACCCTCGGAAACCCTGTACAGGGTCGCTATGGGTCGGAACCGACTCAACAGCACTTAACAACAACAAGAAGGACAAATTTTTAGGGTGTAGTGATCATTGGAATACAAATACGATTGGAATACAAAAGTTAGAAACAAAGAGTAATTAATGATCAGTAGTTGGAAAATATGGCCTTGGTTATAGAAATGATGCTGAAGATCACATGATAGAATTTTGCAAGACCAGTGAATTTTTCATTGCAAATACATGTTTTAAACAGCATAAACTACTATACACATGGACCTCACCAGATGGAATACACAGAAATCAGATTCACTACATCTTTGGAAATAAACTGGAAAAGCTCCATATCCTCAGCCAAAACAAGGTCAGGGTAGACTGTGGAACAGACCATCAGTTGCTCATAATGCAAATTCC